ATATACATATATATAAATAATTAAATATACATAATATTTAATAGTAGCGATTCGTTAATTTTCAGGTTTAGCTTTCAGTATTTCCTAAAATCAATATTTCCCGAAAGCCCTTTAATGTTACCAATTCTTTAATAAAACCAATGATTAAAGGTTGATTATTCTGAAAACACGGTCTAGAATGAAAATTTATTTGAAAATGATCAAAACTTGTGCGTAAAAGTAGAGTAGATAAAACATAATTAAGGTGGATGTCCAATTACTGCAACTTCCATGTGGTGCATCGAGATTCTGGGCTATCGGTATTATATGATATATAATTATTAATTGCATCGTTATACGATACAATTATCAATTGCATAACAAATAATATGAGCTAATTGGCTGCGTTCGCGGTTACGTGTATATAGTTACACAATTTATTAAATTATTATCAATTATTATCGACAACCTTATTTCACCAACGCCATACCAAGAATACAATTATGTATCCTTAAAATTAATTAGTCAAACCCGGACAAATATTACACCATATTATGCTATAATACATATACAATAGAACGGAGTATAGTATTAATTGAGGAGAAAATGTAATGATTTTTCGGAAACAATCTTTATCAATCATCCAAAACTTACTCACTAACGTGATTTAATTAAATAATTCTTATACATAATAAATAATACTTGGTTAAAAAAAGTGAAAATGTATCGAGCAAAAATAAAAGATGCTAGAGTAATCTTTCATCGTTCTAGAAAAAGACAAAAATATGACCAAGGGTCATTTTTGTTACGAGCCCTTAAATCGTAATATACGAGCAGATTCAGTGGTTACGATAATAGGATTTCCCAGGGTTCGCCAAGGTAACCTCAAATTCGTCGATTTTTCCCATAGTCGTTATGTCTTCGTCGGGCATTTATAGCGTTGAGTGTGCGCCAGAATCTACTCGTTTGCGGTGTGGCGCGTGAAGAGAACCGGAAACCGTGGTTTCACGACGAACACGTATGCGCTGCGAGCCTGTATACGCGTGCAATAATTCACCGATCCGTAATAACGAGTTAGTAACTGGCTAATGAATAACCGGTGAAAATTAAACAGCTCGCAAATCGAGTTTCGAGTTTCCGCACGGATCTGTGAAACAACGGTCGCGATCTGTTACACACTTCTCCAACTGTGCTAATTGCGCGGTCATTGTAAAGGGAAGAAACGAAAACATCGAGCGATACTTTCGACGGTTGCCTCATAATTCGTTGTTCACTGCATGGTGAACAATTACTGGTAATTAATTAAGGAATTTTTCAGAATTTTCATTTTGACTAACGCGTCCAAAGAGTGGGGAGATTTAGACAGAATGTTTAGTAACAGATGATGGCAATTTAAATAGAGCTCCTATGAGCCAAAATCAGACGAAAATGAAGAATAATTAGATTGTGCTTGATATTTTGTCTACTTATTTATTGATATTTCAAAATTAACCAAAGTATCCTTGAGGTATGATAACGCGTATGACGTGTATAACGTAAACAAAAGACTGCGACGCACTCTGATGGAGGATATGAAAGTTGATCACTATACATAATGTATAGTGAGTATAATAGTTATTTATTTTAATCTATAATCAATTTCTTTCTTAAATTTATTAATTCGCTCTGTTCTTAGTTCGTATTCTTAGTTCTTAGTTCGACAATAGAAATCATCTAAGCATTTCTGTCCCATCCTGTATCAGTTCAGTAAACCAGTAAACGTCTTTTTCTGAATAAAACTTACTGGTGGTGTGTGTATATAAGCCTTTCATATATCAATGGACGTGTGAAACCGTACACAGGTTAGAGCGATAATCGTAGTACAATCGAGCAAGGGTGATTAGAAAATAAGGAAAATATACAAAATAAGAAAAAGGTTTGCTATAACATTTTTTCATTTGAGGCTTTGTTTTCGAGTAAATCGACTTTGAATATTTGACAAGTATACTAAAATTTCGTTAATTCCGAAATGAGAAAGGGCGAATAATCGACAAAGTTTAAGCTACATTTGAAAATAAATGTATTGTATTGTAAATATAATTACATGTAAAATACATATTTTCGTAATGCTTCATTTTCGAGAGAAAAAATTTAAAAAATGCGGCACGCATACATATCAGGCTAGTTCGTTTTCAATTATACATGTTTAAACGTTATTTTCTCGAAAATGAGGCCTTCAACGGAAACATTTTATTTTACATTTCTGTATAATGACCTACTGCTTGTTGCATATTTATAGATAACCTGTACTTAGTCAAGTTAAAGTATACTTGACAACTCGATTTTCTCAGAAACGGAATGTCACATGGAAAAATTTTATTCCATATTTTCCACACATCTTTTCACGTAAAATCATTCCCTGTTCGGTTGTACTATGATTACCGCCCCACCGTGTATGTAAACCTTTATATATATATACAAAAAAATATTTCCATGTCACTGTATTTGTTATTGGATTTATGTTGCATATATTTATGTAGTATATAATATATAATAATATATTATATATAATATATAATATATATAATATAAATAATATAATATATATAATAGTGTATTATATAATATATTTATATAGTTGCATATATTTTGCATAAGAATTCAAATACTACATGATTCAAGCTACAAAGATGATCCAAAATTAAATGATGGTAAATTATACAATATTACTTATCGATGCAAGAAAAGCACAAATCATTTGGCTGGTGTAATGATAAGGTGTGTTGTATTTAAATGTCGACTATGTTCGCTAGACCGAAAGACTAACACGATTTAGACACGATCGCGAGTTCTGGCAGCTAGATTAGCAGATATGCTGTGCAAACATCCACCTAATTATGTGCTACACTATGATCGTACGATACTGTACTCGTTTCCCTCTTGCAAAATGTGTCCATTCGCTCTTCGTGCACATGGCTTACGGTTTAAACAAACGAACAAAATTGGGGAGAGCTAAACTGTGGAGTAAAAGTGTAATACTTCTATAGTGCATCTGTGGATCACAGGTACAGATAATTCTTTTATTTTACTAACAATAAAATCGGATATATATATATATATATCGAATCCAATTTGTAGTATAAAATAATTCAATTTATTCATATATTAATTTGTAATATAAAGATATTTACAATTATATTTGTATGGCTGATAAAAATTGTAATTGTCTTTTCTTACAAAATAACACATGCATAATTCATAGTACAACGGATATTGTAAAACGGATTATAAACTTTTAAATTTTAGCTATAAACTTAATCGCTTTAAAATATTGACCTATATAAAATGAATGAATACTCGTGAATCCAATTTCATAAAAATCGGATATAAGAAATTATTGATAATATTATTGTCTAAAAAGAGATATTGGATGTATGTATTGGATTATATATTCAAATCAATTTTATATGTTCTATCTATCTATAAAAGAATTACTACAACATAAAATATTATATCCAAATTAGAACTTTTTATCGAAATTTATTTAAATGTAGGCAGCGTTAAAGAAGATAATGAACATATAACACATGCAAAATTTCTCAAATTTAAGCTTGAAATATCTTTTAAAAAATATGATTCTATTTAAAAAATTAAAGCTAATCTTCAGTTCTATAAAACACCTCCACTTCTGTACACACACAGATATATATATATATATATGCACCACATGATCATTTAATACCATCTTCTTTTGTCTTCTTTTCTCTGGCATAAAATTTCTAGTAACTTTTTTCTAGCTTCTATCTTTCCAAAGCTATAGCTTGGCCTAGTTATGTGTATACAGAATTCGGTAAGAAATTGTACGTGAGAATACATTATGTCGCTGTGCAGTGTGTACCTACATACATATTATCTGTACCTCTGCAGATATGTCGCATTATGCACATACCTTACATCCGATTATATGTACAGATATAGGATATGCAGTGGTTGCTGAGTTTAGATAAACCAATGCATTGATTGAATATGCTCGTAAATTCTCTATACCATGAATATTAGTATATATCTAAATATATTTTGTAAATTTCCTACCAATCTATGTAAGAAAGTACATGTAGCGATTCATTTTTTGACTTTAATAACAATTTACATTTGACAATTACAATTTAGAAAAATCGTCTCTATAATTTAAGTAGAGCAGATTAAACTCTTCATATATAATGATTCCAGTTTTCACGCAAACTCATTTCATAAATTAACTTCAGCTAACTAAAAAATAAGATTAATCAATATAAATAAACCTAGATTTATATGCGAATAACACAAATAATAATTAACACGGTTACGGTTTCTGCTTTGTGCCTAATAATATTTGTGAATATATGTATCTACGTTCTTCGTTTCAACCGACTTCTTGCCCTCAATGTTATATGATCTTAAAAAGAAAGCTAAAGCTAGAAAAGTATGATCACGTAATAATTCTGAAACCAATATGTATCAATTAAGAATCTCAATTCTTACTGTACCCTACTGTACTTAAAAGGATATTGCGACAAATACCTCCAGCAGGTAAAAATTATTAGGTACTGGAATATTATGCAGTAAACGCATTAATTGTAAATTTATGATTCTTCATACATATATATGGAAAGCATCTTTTCTCAACTTTTAAAGGCAATGTCCTAAATTGTAATTTTCCTCCTTAAAATGTTCGGAGAAACAGCTCCTACTTTTTGTGAGCTATAATTTTAATAAATTCAGTGCCTCAATCAAGCTATTTTCTTTTCCTCAATATTTTTAGGTAAACTAAAAAATAAATATTATATTTTCCTTGTTTCTTAAACGTCAACATTATCAATTCAATATTGTCTAATATTATCTATTTGATAATAAAGCATCATATATAACAAATTGTTGCCTACTTTTGTTGATTAAGTATGTATCTGTAAGCACTTTTGTATGCAACGAAATAATGTATTATCAGATACTAGTATTTATTGCTATGTAGCATAATCTGTCTTGAACTTTAGACTGCTAGCCACTGCCGGGATAGTAGAAATCATATTAGAAGTTGTATTTGTATGAATTACTCGGAGTTGAACCACTAGCGTGTGTTTCGGCGTATTATAGACCTCTGGTAGCAAAGTGGGAAGGTTGGCACTACATAAATACTTAACGATATCTAATATAACTCAATTCAAAACAATGAAAAGAAACATGTCCTCAAATGTCTTCTCAATTAATTTAGAAACATTTTATCACAACAAGCAAAATGTGTATAATTGATATTTTGGAAATAACGTAATATTTTTTCTCAATCCATGGTGATAATTTTGTACAGAGCGATGTCTTCGCTTACTTTGAGTAAATTAAAAAAAGCACCGATAGGAAAGATTGATAAACAACGAAAAAAAATTAACCGGTTTGATGGATTAACGGAAGAAGAAGTGCAAAAGTATACTTTGCCAGATTATTTGGAAATGAATTTAGATATAGTTTTCGTCGGTATAAACCCAAGTTTAATGGCAGCCCATCGTGGTAGATACTACGCTGGTCCAGGTAACCATTTTTATAAACTTTTGCATGAATCAAGACTAACATCTCGATGTTTAAGTTACGAAGAAGATCATAAACTTCTTCAATTTAGAATTGGTTTAACAAACATAGTAGCTCGAGCTACAAAGTCTTCTGCTGATTTAAAGCGTACAGAGATTAAAGAGGGTTCTAAAATTGTAGAAGAAAAATTAAAACTTTATAAGCCAAAGATTGCTGTTTTCAATGGCAAATGTATCTATGAAGTATTTGCTAATAAAACAGATAATTTCAATTTTGGATTACAACCAGAAAAAGTTGATGAAACTGCAATTTGGGTCACTCCATCAAGTAGTGCGCGTTGTGCAAATTTTCCAAGAATGACAGATAAATTACATTTCTTTACTTCCTTGAAAAAATATTTGCAGTTCCTAAAAGGAGAAATCAAAGATATTGATATGAAAGAATTCTTGTTCGAAGGAAAATGCAAACAGTTTATTCCACAAACGTCAAAAATGTGGCGGCGAAAAAATATGTCTACATTCCTACATGGAGGAAGAATTGCTAATAAAGATACAATATGTCTAGATACATCTGATGAAAATGTAGCAATAGCACATAGTACAGAGTTCATTGTAAAGAAACTTGAACCTGATAAAAGTGATAAAACTGATGAAATACTTGATACAGATGAATCTGATTCATCACAAAATTTTGAGGCATGTATTTCTCAAGATATTGTAAAAACATTTTTTGGAAATGATGAAACTTCACAAAAAGAACAATCACTAGCTGTAAAGAATGTAAAAATCAAACAACCCAACAATCAAGCTATGACCAGTGATATAAAAAAATCTAAATGCCAAACAAACAGGAAAGAGAAAAAGATTGTTAAAAGATTTCCTAATAAACCAGTTAGAAGTAAAGATCTTGAAAATAACACTAATGATTTTATAAATTTGATAAAACAAAGACTGATAGGAAAACTAAACAATTTTGATGAATAGATTGGACGTGTTTTAACTTGTAACATTTGTTATTAGTAGCATACAATTTAATTATAATATAATTTAATATTAGAATAATTCAATAAAAATAGAAATAGGATACAAATGTATAATATCTCTTGCATGGAAGATTGACATCTTTACATTTTATATTTTTATAATTATGTTTTGTATAAAACTGAAATTGTGGCAATAATAAAATTTTAGGTAATAAAACTTATCATTATAAAAATATTGAAGACATTATTCTCCATATAAATTTACAGAATATTTTTCTTTTTCAATTATTAATCTTGAAAATAATCAAAATTCAGAATAATATGAAATTTTCATTTATTCAAAATTGAATATACAAATACATATAACCTTTTAGAATATGCAATATAAAACAGGTTTATTAATATTTATATTATATTTTATCCCAAACCATATGTATAACTCAGTTTTAAAGCGAATAAAAATTGGTATAAAAATACTTAATAACAAATACAATTATATATATATATATCTCAATATAATAACAAATATATCGTAATACTAATTAACCAATTATATTAATATTACAATTTTGATCTACTAGCTGTTATGAGTGATGTTAATTTTTGAGTGAGCATGATATTTCCAGTGATTTTTATCTTCCCTTGCATGAACGCCATTTGTGGAGTTAATTTACCTAAAGCCTACAAACAAAGTAATTCTTACATAGTAATTGAAGTGTATTATCATGAATTGTTTATTATATTTATTATATTAATATTATATTATTCTAAAGAATCATATATTTACTATTTGCATCATGTCCGCATCCTCAAGAGTTAATGTTGCATCAGGCTTGCCTGATTTTGGATTTCCTCTATATACCTCACCTTTTTTCATATCCAAAGCTTTGGAACAATGAGGAAGAATTAAAAATAAGGTGTAGACAATATTAATTAACATAAACAAATGTACTTACTCCATGTTGCTTCAGGCTTTCCTTTTACCAAAATGTGATAAAGAAATATTCCATTGATTTGCTTTACCTGTTCTGGATTTGCTTTTGCGTATTCATCCATCATCTTAAATAATACATCACTTTCAAGAGATTCACTGCCAGATAAATGCTTCATTATTGGTTGCATTGATACCGTGCGTTTCAAATCAACATATCCACCTGCAATCGAAAAATTTAAAGCTTAATACATATAGTAATTATACATACTTAACAATTATACTCCAAAAATTATATCACCAAATATACAAATATATAACTTACCTGTTAAAACGGGTAGATTCCCTTCTACAGTAGATGTTTGGAAATGTATTCTATTTCCTTCTTGCCACATATTTGTTTGCAATGTTTGTCCAGGAACTACTGGTTTCACGAAACGTGTCTGCAATGTGTATCAAGGATATGAATTTACATAAAATATTTATTTATTTAACAATAAGAAGAAGCAAAAAGAGCCAGTAAGTTATTGCACATTTAGTGCATCATAGCATTGATTATATAACTATTGATCAACCAACCTTTACAGCCTTAAATAAGTTTTGATCACCGTTAGCGTAAGTTTGAAGAACATGACGAACAGAAAATCCAAGAGAACATAATCCATGTAAGATTGGTTGTTTGAAACCAGCCATCATTGATACATTTGAATCGATATGCAAGGGATTTTTATCACCACTTAATCTGTATAATGCAGCCTGTAAATTGGAACATGATATTTTAAGTAAAGATTAGTAGATACATCGAAATTATAATTACCTTTTACCTGATCATGACTTGTTTGTTGAGTAACCGATGCATCTGGTTGTCGATCAGGAGCATCGATAATTGGTATAATTTTTGAAGATGATCGTTTTCCTTGAAAGCCTCCAGCTCCTGCTATAAATAATATCATTTGTCCTGTAGATAATTTTTCTCCATTGCTAGTATCAAATGTTTCATCTGTAAAAATAAATCAAATTTAGTTAATTTCATTTTACATAGAACAAAATATTATTTGTGAAAATGACGAATTAGCATACTTTGCAGCACAAATACAGCACTCTTTCCCTTATCCAATACATCCACAACTTTGAAACGTATTTCGACCGTAGCTTCCGTTGGTAATTCTTTATGAATTTCGATATATTGCTCCCCATGTAATAACTGAAATTATAGTAAATTCATAAAGATACTAATATACTAAAAATATTATATAAAATAAATTACCTTCATTGGATTTAGTTCAACATTTGGTAAAGATTTTTCTAATATGGAAATATCCGTGGCAGACATTGCATCAAACGTAGTATAAAATGTAGGAAATACAGCAAAATTGCTGTCATTTTCGTACAAATAACGAAAGTCAGCTGGTATCTTAACAGAGGCACCAACTAAAGCATATTTTAATTTTGTGATTATAATTGCCAAAAAATAATGAGTAATGATTAATGATAATTAACAATTAATGTAATTATAATTAAAATTAATAATTATACCTCCTAATGCATATAATATAATGTCCCGGTAATTATAAGTATATCTAAGGACGCTACTGTCCTAAAAAAGAAAAATTCAAAATAAAATATAATAATATTTAACTTCCAGTTACAAGATAATTGTTTTAACTACCTCTAATCCAGAATTTTCAGAATTTCCAGATTTCATTGTATCAACTGCAACCATAAATTGTCCTGTTACTTCCTGCAAAATGTAGCAATGTAAAAATATCACAAAACAACCATTAAAAAGTAAACTTTTTATAAAATGGAAAAAAATATGTACTTCAAGAGAATCAAAATGTTTAGCAGCTGACATATCGGTAACAGCCGACCATTTCTTTTCGACATCTTCGGGAGTGACATTGCTAGATAAATCTTGCCTTAATGTCGATCCTGATGAACGAACTACATGGCCTAAAAGTACATATTAATATATCAACTTATTTGTAATTAATAAAGTTCTGAAATAGAGTACTAAAGTAACTCCAAATTTTTTATTATTTATTCTTTTCATAATCTTCATATCTTTTTCATTAAAAATATTCATATAAATTAAATATCTCAATTTTAACACACTAGTCACTCTGTTGTTTGCACATCTGCAGTTTTCTTTCGTAAAACACAAAAATAAGTACGAAGACTACATTAGCATCACTATAGTAGTGAATACATTAAAAACTAGTTAAATCTATACTTACATTTTCCTGCCCAACCTAATGCAGATTCAATAACAGAGCCATTTTCCATACATTTTTCATGACACAGCCAAACAACTACAGGGGCTATTAATTCAGGTTTTAATTGTTCAAAGAACTCTAGAAAATAAATAAAAGTAATATTAATACATTCAGATGTAATATGATATATGTAACGTCAAGTATTGTTTTTACCTGGTGGTAAAATATCTTCTGTTAAACGAGAACCAGCTGTTGGTATTATTACATTTGTATGAATGTTTCTCTTTCTGCCTTCAATAGCTAATGTATTACTCAAACCAATAAGACCCATTTTTGCTGCACTATAATTAGCTTGACCAAAGTTTCCATACAAACCACTGTTGCTTGCTGTCATGATGACTCTGCCATAATTTTGTTTAACAAAATAAGGCCAAGCAGCTTGAGTGACTTTAAATGCTCCTTTTAGATGAACACTTTGTACCAAATCTGAAATTAGATATAAATAATTGTAGTTGCAATCTGGAGAAATAGAAATTAAAGTAACAATATATATCGCACATACCCCAATCAGCCTCTGACATTTTAGCAAAAGATCTATCCCTTAAAATTCCAGCATTATTAACAACTACATCTATTCGTCCAAATGCATCAATAGCTGTTTTTACAATTTTTTCTCCATCAAGAACAGAATCATAATTGGCCACTGCTTTTCCACCTATTTACAAAAACACAAATAATAGTTCCTTCTTCAAAGTTATCTAATATATGTTGAAATCTTTTATCAACTGCAATTAAAAAGAGAAATTATACAATAAGGAGAATAATGACAAGATTATAAGATATTAATACTTCCTGTCACAGCAATACATAATAAGATAAACTTTCATTTCAAAATTTTAAGATATGCAGATTTATATTAATAATTTACAAAATTGTAATGAAAAATTTATAATAAAAATTTATATCAAGAAATAGATATTCATACGACTAGATTATGAATATATACATTTTAATTTAAGAATAGTAAACTCTACAGAATGCATACAATGCATAAAAATACATAAAAATTTATAATATTAGTAGATGAAACAAATTCAGGTTCCATTTTTTAATTACGTTCATAGAAATATAAAACTGCATTTAGTTCATCCGCAATCTACTCATACAATTATGAATAGAAAATTAAAAGTACTCAAATAAATTCTGAATGTATTGTTACCATTCTTTTTAATTTCATTGACAACTGAGTCTGCACTTTTTGTACTCTTTCCATCACCGTGTCTACTTCCTCCTAAATCATTTACGACGACACTCGCACCCCTTGAAGCAAAAAGTAAGGCGTATGCACGGCCCAAACCTAAGGACAAATTAAAATATCGCAAAATAAAATTGTATATAAGCAAACTAATCTCTAAAAATTGAAAATAAGAATAATTACCTGCTCCAGCTCCGGTTACAATAACTACGCGATCAACAAAACGTAATTCTTCTGGTTGTTTCATTATGCTAGCTCAAAATTATTTAACTGCTTAAAGTAAACTAGTAAGTGATGACTTTATATATAAATTTCTGCCTTCGTAATGAAACTGCAGAATTAAAGGTAGTTCAAAGTTCGTTACTTTTTAAAATAAATACATACATTACAGTATACACACCGTTCTCCAGATCGTGAGATATAAAGTCCAATATTATCAAGTGATTAAAACCTCTCGTTTCTCTGCATTATCAAAACATACATATATGAAAATACATACTACATATTATCGTTGTGTGAATGGATACGAATGTATACATATATATTTATAAGACTCGGTACACACGAGTGACACTTTGACACTGCACTCTCATTGCGTTCTGCGTCATATAATGTCTGCTTTTGATGCTTTTAACTTCTAAAACAACAAAAAATATATAACGCAACGTCAAAAAGTCATTCATCTGTACTGGGCCCTATTCTTAATAAGAAAACAAAGAAAGATATGGTCGTGGAATCGCGTGATAAAATGTCGTTCATGCGCATTCAGCCTTAATGCATATAATCTAATTTTTTAAACGTTACATTTTTTTAATTAAATGTCTATGACCACTAAAACAAAAAATTACATAAGATTTATCCGAGCTTAGTATTGATATTATCTAACATGCAATAATGTAAGAGAAAGGTGAAATATAAAATTGTACTCCTATATTTCCAATATTTTTAGTAGCATTCACTATTTCTAATATATTTCATAATAGCATATAGTATGTAAAATATTATCTAATATTATGTAAAATTATTAGGTTTATTTTTTATTTGTTCTGTAGTAGTTATATAACTTCTTCAGAACCTTTAAGATTATAATACAAAAAATGGGTATTTTATGAATAAAAGATTTATTCTTTATTCTTTATTTATTTATTTATGAATAAAAGAATTATATCTCGTCGTTTTACTTTCATAGCAAATAAATGAAAAAAAAAAAATAGATTTTACTTTATTTTTCAAGTTTATTTCTTAAAACTATATAACATTCATACACAATATCTTTTTAAAACATATGAAGCAGCGATAGTTGCAATAATTGTAAAATATTATTAAAATTAAATCTCATAAATGTCATAAGTCATTGCTTGAATAACTTCATAGTGTACATACGAATAATGAAGTAAACATTTAAATGATATCAATATGTATATGGTCATTGAAAAAAGGTAATGAAATATAACAACTTTTGTTTTTATTGCATATGCTGGCGCCTACGTGCAGCCCTTTGTTTGTCAAATCGTAATTCCATTTCCTCCAGAACACGTGGAGTATATCGCACGACTAGTTTCACAGAATTCTGTGCTTGTTTTAAAAGTTCTACTGCTTTTTCATGGTTTTCTCCTTCCACACACTGAAAAAGTTGTACATTTAATATAGGAAATTAACTATTTGTGTATTAAATTATATAAAGGTACAAAACAAATCATAAAAGCGATACTAACCACTCCATTCACTGAGAGAAGCTGATCACCGCGTTTTAAACCACCATGACGATCAGCAACACCGCCAGGGATAATTCGTGAAATATAAATTGGCGAATTTTGCTCTTTGCCGCCCATTACATTAAAACCAAGACCTTCCTCGGTTTTTGGTAATTCCACCACTCGTGGATGTGCATGACCCTCGCTTGCTGCAAAAGCAGCAACTGTTGCTTTTGCTGTAGCTGATGCACGAACATCTTGAGATCCCTACAATTATTAATACTAGCATTAAATTTAAATTTTCTGGAGGAAAATCTATTGTTAATTATATAATCACTAATAAGTAAATATATCGTACCTGTATGTCCACTGTTTCATATACATGTTCGTATACTTCACGAACAGCACTAAGAAAATCACTTTGCAAAACTTTCTGTAAGGCAGCTAATTTTGTTGCAGGTACCTCGCCGCCTAAAAGATTTGTA